GAAAAAAAAAAAAAAAAAAAAAAAAAAAGAAGACTATGTGTAAATGAAGATCCAATGTACATATATGTAGTTTATAAACACTCCCATCTACACAGGGCTTTGGACCTTCTCAGGGCAGATATCCTGTTCCTATGTGATCTCAAACTTCCTGGCATCCTAACAAACTCTCCATCTCCAAATACCAAAAGCTCTGGCCTCAGTATATCATATTTCTGGGGCTGCTGTTTTCTTGTCAGTGCTCTTTTAGAGAATTTTTTAAAAATAGTTATTTATTTATGATCCTAGATAAAACTTATTCACTTAACATTTGTTAATTTTTCTTATGTAAGTAAAACATTTTACTAAACTATTCCATTATACTTTACATTTTTGTTGCTATTGAAAAATGGGTTGATTTACCTCATTCAGTATTCTAATTAGATATCACTAACATGTTATTTATGCCTATGGATTTGTGGTGAGGTAAAAGTAAATACAAATAGGCTTTATTATCAGGACAAATAATAATGTTTGCAAAACATATACAATATGAATGAATACATTGTCTTTTCAATCTCTGTCCCTAAAATTTCAAATTTTGCTCTGAATATTCAAACATGAATTATATGCAACAAAATTATTTTTTCTCCAATATTTTCTACAGGTAAAAGAAAACCTTCCTGTCTTTCACTATAACAATAACGAATTTGACGACAAAGTTTTGTTAGGTGATAAAGACTTCCTGGGTTTTATTTTTTGTTTTTCTGAGTCAGATATTAAACATTTAAAACATTTTTTTTTTACCCTCAGGAAATGCTCTAAATATCTGTTTTTTGGTTTTTTTTTTTTTGAACTAGGTGTCTCTTATTTATTTATTTATTTATTTATTTATTTGGTTGCACCGGGTCTCTTGGTTGTGGCAGGCAGGCTCCTTAGTTGCGGGAGGCGGGCTCCCTAGTTGTGGCATGTGAACTCTTAGCTGCGGCATGCATGTGGGATCTAGTTCCCTGAGCAGGGATTGAACCCGGGGCCCCCTGCATTGGGAGCGTGGAGTCTTAACCACTGCACCACCAGGGAAGTCCCTCTAAATATCTTTTAAGTACTCTAATTATAGTATAATAATGCTCATTTACCACTGATTTATTTATAACTAACTGTTCAAGAAAATGCATGAAAGCAGTGGCATCCTATTCATACATACATAAACATTATGTCTAAATGGCTATGAATATATTATTTTATTATTATAAAAATAATAACACTGTCAAGGGTTATAATGCTAATATATAATGAAAATATTTAAAAGGGCAAAATACTAGGTTGCAAAAATGTAAGGAAATAATAGCAATACAGAAATAACCAAAGTTTTCTTAATTTGAATGCCGACTAAATTATGCTCTGTGGGCCAATATTCTTACTGTAGCTTTGATAATAAGTAGGTCATCAATTACATATGGATAAACTAAGCCAGAGACAATATCATTTTTAGTTAATAAAATCAGATGGACGGTTCCTAGATTTCTAAAATAAGCAGATCATAATGTAGATCTGCAACCCAATGTAGTATATTGGGTTAGTTTATCGTAGTACATTGGCTACAAGTTTGTGCTGTATCTAACTGGGATCAGCTCTGATTAGCTGGCCTTTGTTTGGACTTGCCATTGTCTGTGTCACCTACTTTAAAATATCTTTAATATCAAGTCCAGAAATAAGCAAAGAATAGTAAACTCAATGGCCTAAGGAGGTAAGTATTTCCTTTCAAAAATTTTTTTTCATCATTTCTCGTTTACACAAATTTGCTTGCAAGTTCCATAATTGTAGAGTTTGGATATGGGAAATATTGCCTCACCATATAAACAGTTTTCTGTATCAATTCTCAGTCACAAAGTTAAAGAAAAAGATATCTAAACTGATAGACATAATAGAAATTTTATGAAGATAAAATTTTAAAACTTATTTACTTATAAGGTAGTTTTCCCCTTGGGGTGAGAGTATCATATATATACATACACACAAACATATGCACATATGTGTGCATTTATATAAATTAATTCTAATGAAAATAATTTTTACAGGTTTTTTTTTTTGCCACAATACACATAATTGCAACATAGTTATTTAAAGATACCATTTAGAAATTGAGTTAAACTTCTTTGTTCAGATATTATACACACCCATATACACAGAGAGATGCAGGCATTGTGACACTTTTTATAGAAGTTTCACAGCCTTCTGACCAGAAACACTATATACACTTAATATTCTTCCGTCGTATTATTAATTTATCCTCCATTTGTTACATTTGTGCTAGATTTTTGCAGTATACAAACTATTGTTTGATCTATTTGCATTTTACTTAATCTCTATCCCCAAACTTTTATTAATTAATTAATTTATATATTTATTTATTTATTTATTTATTTATTTTATTTTATTTTTTTTTGCGGGCCTCTCACTGTTGTGGCAATTAATTAATTTATTTATTTATTTATTTATTTATTTATTTATTTTATTTTATTTTTTTTTGCGGGCCTCTCACTGTTGTGGCCTCTCCCGTTGTGGAGCACAGCCTCCGGACACACAAGCTCAGCTGCCATGGCTCACGGGCCTAGCTGCTCCGCGGCATGTGGGATCTTCCCGGACCGGGGCACGAACCCGTGTCCTCTGCATCGGCAGGCGTACTCTCAACCACTGGGCCACCAGGGAAGCCCCAAACTTTTATTTTTAATTGGAATTTTATTGTGTTAATAACATAGCTTTAATATTCATTATACAAAACATAGAATTTTACCTCCATAAAGAGTTCAGAATATTTAAATCTTCATTATTGTTGTCATTTCAACATATTCCCAGGTAATCACAGAAAAAAAAAAAAAAAAGAACAGTATATGCTTTTGAGTTAGCAAATCTGAAAAAAAATCCAGCTCCTCTTTACAAGCTGTGTTGAACAAGGACAATTTACCCATACTCTCAACATTTCAGTTACTTTCGCTCGAGATAATAACATTTTCAAATGTTATCACGAGAATCAAGTGACTAAACATCATGACATTCAGTAGTCATTCCACCTAACATTATTTTTAGCAAGGAGTACTTTGGTTTTTTTCTCTCTTATGTTAAGGGTACTTCCTAATTTAGGTTTCCAACTTTTAATCCCAAAAGAAGATACATGAAATGAAGAATTAAAGAATAAAGAAGGGTGAAAATGCTGACATGAATTATAAAACTCAATTGGGAAATTGCTGCTATTGTTGATGGCTCTTCTTTTAAAATTATATTATGTATATTATAAAATTATAACATTCTATGTTGGTGTATTGAAGTGATTATAATAAATAATTTTTGAAACTTATTGTGTTAAAAATAACCCACCCAGGGCTTCCCTGGTGGCGCAGTGGTTGAGAGTCTGCCTGCCGATGCAGGGGATACGGGTTCGTGCCCTGCCCCAGGAAGATCCCACATGCCGCAGAGCGGCTGGGCCCGTGAGCCATGGCGGCTGAGCCTGTGCGTCCGGAGGCTGTGCTCCACAACGGGAGAGGCCACAACAGTGAGAGCCCCGTGTACCGCAAAAACAAAACAAAACAAAACAAAACAAAAAACCCACCCAGTCTCAATCATCAAGGTATCATCAGTAAAAATGAATTTAATGGTTTAAGTCATTCAGATTTCTGATGTGATATTTAGATTTCTGCTCTTCCATTTACTTATTATGTGACCTTGGGAAAGTTACACCTGTGTAGGCTTCGTTTCCTCACTTCATAGTGGGATTAATATTTGTATCTACCACATAGGTTTGTTGAGAAAAAAAATAAAACACACATAAAGTCTTTAGACTAGAATAGATTTCAGCTAATGCATCAGTAATTCTAATGAAAGCAAAGGTTCTCTGGACACATCATACCAGTGTCATGACTCCCATCCGATCCATTTCCCTGGCAGGACTTCGAGGCGTGAGCTTTGGTGTTGAGTGTCCACTGGGGGGAGATGAACTGGCCAGCGAAGAAGCTGTAACCGAGGCAGTGATGGAGGTACCTGGGTGGACCCTTGCTAAATTCAGGCCTTCCAGACTCACACTAGCCACTCTATTCTCAATTTCTTCAGCACGTAACTCTGTAGATTCTTTTTCTTCCTGAATTAGTCTGAAAGATACAGTTTAATTTTGATACATTTTATGCTGTTATAATGTTAATTGGAATTCACTAAATAAATAAATAAATAACTTTGTGAACATTTTATATCAAATCTAGTATTTTCTTTTTTCCCTAGGCAATATAACTTTCAATAAATTCCAGAGATTTTCTGGCTGAAAATTAGAAAATCTTTCTTTTCAAATGATACATAATTCCTCCCAACTTTCATTTTGACCCCATTTCTATATTACCACCTGTTAAAACTCTTTTAAACCTTGAGTGCCTAGTTAATTTCTGCCACTAATCCTAATCTTACATTTGTACTCAGGAACGAATATATGAGACTTTTAGAAACCCAAATCTCAACAAAGTCACTGAGTCTTACCTCCTATCCAATGAAAAAGTATAACTGATAGAATCCTCAATAAATGGTCATTCAAAATTTTAATTTGGCCAAATAAAACCCTGACTTAGCCAAGTTGCCTTTACATAAGCACCAAGCAATTTAATAATGTAGATATGAGAGACAGATAGTGAAAAATTTTTTAAAAATTACTATTGCTATAGTTGCTATAAATGCTTTTGAGAAGACAAAACACTATTACTCTTTCTTTAAATAGGGAGAAGCTTCAAGAATATGCATACATTATTTATTACAAAGACACAAAGAATAAAGAACTTTAACTGGGTTGCTTCAAGATCCTATTTAAGTTGAATCTACACACATTTTGCATATTGATATAATAAAACTGGGTACCAGTACAGTTTGTTTGAAAAATGGAGTTAGAAACCACCTCTCCTGAGATATTTTCCTCTTAACTACAAATGGCTTATTGTGATTTCCTATGATATAACCTTTAACTTCAAGGTTATGATTACTGCAAAGTTTTCTTTTTACGTATTTACTTTGGAAAAGTTTGGCAGTTTCTTACGAAACGTAACATACTTTTACTGTATAAGCCAGTAACTGTGTTCCTTCATATTTACCCAAAGGATTTCAAAGCTTATGTCCTCACAAAACCCTGCACACAGATGTTTAGAACTTTATCCATAATTGTCCAAACTTGGAAACAATGAAGATATCTTTCAGTAGGTGAATGGATAAATAAACTGGTACATATATACAGTGGAACAATATTCAGTGCTAAAATGCAATGAGCTATCAATCCATGAAAAGACATGGAGGAACAATGAATGCATGTAACTAAATGAAATAAACCAATCTGAAGAGGCTACATATTGTATGATTCCAAATATATGACACTCTGGAAAAGGCAACTATGGAGACAGTAAAAAGATCAGTGTTTTCCGGGGGTTGGGTTGGGGAGAGGGATGAATAGGCAGAGCACAGCGGATTTTGGGGACAGTGAAAATACTATGTCTGTACGATATCATAATGATGGATACACATTATTATACATTTTCCAAACAACTAAGAGTGAACCATAATGTAAACTATGTATTTGAATAATATGATGTGTCAATGTAAGTTCATCAGTTGTAACAAATGTACCACTCTGGTTAAGGATGTTGATAATGGGGGAGGCTATGCATGTGTGGGGCTGGGGGTATATGGGAAACCATTGTACTTTTCCCTTGATTTTGCTGTGAATCTTAAACTTCTCTAAAAAATAAATCAATACAAATACTGAGGCAAATTTACTCTTAATTTTAATTTTTCACTTACACAAAGAATATGAATTCTGTTACTTTGAAGTTTATTTTCATGGTGCATGTTTTTTTAACATCTTTATTGGAGTATAATTGCTTTACAATGTTGTGTTAGTTTCTGCTGTATAACAAAGTGAATTCATGGTACATTTTAACTTCACCCAAAGATCAGAATCCGAAAGGAAGGTTTAATCAAGTAACACAGTACATTATTAATGTTCAAACACATTCCAATGGAAAAACTGCCTCCTCTTCAAAAAAGAAAAAGAAAAAGAAATTTTGTACTTTCAAGTGATTGGTGGTAAATGATTCCAGAAAAACCTTCTGGTGAGAGGCAATATGGTTCTGCTATACAAAAAATTGTAGTTTTAATCTCTAGGTATTCTATTAATTAATTGTAAAGGAGAGTAAAACTTAGAGGAACTAGCTGAGTAAGAGATAGATTGAAGTTTAGTCAAACAAAAAATCCAATGCTACCCAGATTTTCAGTTTATTTGGAAAACTCATCAAAGATTTCACCTTTACCTAATTCTTTTATATTGCTCTAATATCATCATTAATCTGTATATTTTTCATATACGTTTCTTACAAAAGCTGTCCTAATTTTATTCCAGGAATTTGTGAAAATGCACATTCTTATTCAGTAGGTGTGAAGCGAGGTCTGAGATACTGCAGTTCTAATAAGCTTTATTGGTGATGCCAATGTTTCTGATCTGATGATCACATTTTTAGAATCAAGGTCTTCTAATCACTTGAGACCATCAAAAATCATTGAACTCACCTGATTTCTTTGTTGATAGCATCCAATTGTTCCTGAAGCATCATGGCTAGGGTCTGGGCATCAGAATGACCACTTGGAGAGAGAAGATCCATTGAGCTAAAAATCGTTTCTCTATCATCATCATCAATGTCAGACATTTCTGTGTCACTTTCAAAAGTGTGGCTGCTTAGCACTCCAATTTGTTGAGTTCTATTCCATTCATGATCCCCAAGAGATTTCACCTAGATGGTAAAGGAACAATTACAGTATTTATCATGCTGCTCATTTTCAAAGCATTATTCTGAAAATAAAAACTAAAAACATACATGCTTTTATAGCTTACTTGGCAAAGGTAGAACTGATTATTAATATTTTAATTTATCATTCCAATAAAATAGTTCCTTGATACTTAAATAATGGTAGGTACTAATTTTCAGCATAAATATCAATATTTTAATAGGAATAAAAATGATAAACTTCTGCATGATTTTTAGTTCAACCCCAATTCAAGGCAGCAATTACTTTAAAGCATCTATGTTTGCAACATTTTAACTTGTTTTCAAATATAACAATCTCTATTCACTTGTACTTCAGTATTTTCATCTCTTATACTAATTAGGCTGAGGGTACGAATATTACCACTCAATAAATTACACAAGAATTCTCTCTCCAACATTCTAAGAAAGTATTAATAAAAATATTGCGCAGAGGTTTAATTTCATCTCCAGTGCTCTGGTCACTTAAATGCCTCACTTGGGTTTTTTTTAAACCCAAGGCATACTACAATAATTTACATGACTATATTTTTTAAATGAATATAATAAATCCTCCATGTGAACAAAAGTCTTGAGTACCCAACAGACCAGTGCTTTTCAAGCTGTGGTCTGAAGGTAGGAGATGGTTGAAAGTAAGAGAGCAGTCCTAGATTTTCTGCTTTTTAAAAAATTGTTTTTCATTTTTGTGATGATGTAAAATGACTTTTGGGGGGACCACAAGATACTGCCCTGAGTAGTTACTTCAGATTTGAGGACCTGAGTAAGTACTTGTGTTACAAATTGTTTTGGTACCAAGTAGCACTAATTTATTTACCACATAAAACTGAGAAAAGAACTGAGATGGATTTATTTATTCTTCGTTTGTTCACTTATTTATTTATCCATAAATTAGATATTGAATGCCTACTACAAGGGACTAACTTATACATGACATGTAGTTGCCAGCTAAAAATTCAAAGGAGGTCAAGAGCCTTGTATAAATAAGGACAAGTAGGTTATATAGTATTTTGGAAACATAAAAGAAGTTGAGGAAAACGAACTATACTTAGGGCACACAGGAACTATATATTACTTCTCTATAAAATGCAACTATATACTTAACATATACAGCCTACAGATTTTAAGTTATTGACTGAATGAAAGGCTGGCACTGCAGCTTATAATGAACAGTTTTCTATAAACACTTTCAACAGTCTGTGTACATTTTCCTCAAAGTGTTATTAAAACAGTAATTATTATTAAAATATGTAATTTTAATTAACGATATGAGTGCCATTGCTTAAATGCCCAGCAAACCAAAAGCCCATTTGTTTGGCAATATGGCATAATAGATAAAAGTGTGGAATTTGAAATCACATGAATACAGGCTCAAGTTTTGACTCTATCACTTTAATGGCTGTGTAAGTCTGAACACTTAAAATTTCTCAGCTTCAATATTTTCACATCTGAAATTAGTATAAAATAGTACTCAATTTACAATGCTATAAATACTTGGATAAATACTTGGGACATACTTGGTTCAACTTTTGGTACGCAGTAGGGGTTATACGTTAGTTATAGTTTTAAAAATATGTTATATATCACACCTGAAACTAATAAAAATGAATTCTCTCAGTATTAAAATACTATCCAAAGTGGAAGAGTGCATTTACTTAAACCATCAAAGACTTGAAATAAAAAGTTTAACCTTTGGCTCATCTCTCCTCACACCCATGCGGCCTCTCCTTGGTCTTCTTATTACTTTAGTTGTTCTGTAATCAGACTGGCTGTCCACTAGGGATCCAACAGAATACCGCAGCTCAGCTGAGGTGTCTAGATGAGTTCTGGAAACAAGGAAAACATAAAATATGCTCAATCTCAAAAATTAAACTTACCAGCAAATCACTATCTACTGCTTAATTGGCAGTAAAGCACAAATCCTCAAAGGAAGAAAATAAAAAAAACTGCAAGGAAGAAAATAAGTGTTGAAGTGTTGTAACTCTCAGAGGTCTCTTTGGAGGCTTATTTCAGAAACCCCAGTTTCAGTTTCATTCTGAAGGTCAAGTTCATTTTCTCTTTTTAGAATATTTAAAAACCTTTCTGTTTATTAATCATTATTTTCAAAAGCAGTAGTCCAATGGAACATGTTAAGATTGACAACCAAAATCCATTGGCTTACATTCTGACAACTCTTAGTTTGAGCTATTTAGTGGATATCCCAGTACATGCTATTTATCACTGTATTTCTTTTAAGTGTTCCTCATTAAGCTAAGAGAAAAATGTATAAACTTTTGGGTCACAAAATTATCTATTTTCCAATGTTTTATTTTTCAAGTTAGGAAATCAACAAAATACTTAAAATCAGATTGGCCCAAGGTTAATAATCTTATTTTTTTAATAAAATAGGATGTTTCACCAGAAGAGTTTTTCAGGTTTTGATAAGACATTGTTCCAAAAAGATTAAGAAAAATCTTTTAATAAGCACATTTAATTCTGAAATCTGCTTAGAGACGAAACAGTTGGAAAATTCTAATTGGAAAATATCGTCAGACTGGTTTTCAAAAAACATGATAATAAAGTACACTGTAATCAAAGTGCACTAAAGGTTTCTCCAAGTATATTATTTATATAGAGATTTACAGCAAATTCAGTTTACTGCTACGATGATGATGATAATTACAAATGCAACATGCTATCCTATAAAATGATCCATCATCATTAGGAAATATGCTTAAAGCCGTGTTTTCTCTTGAACTTGGGGCTCCTGCTGATCTACTATGCTTTCACTCTTAGCTCTCTTTGTTAACAAAGACAAACATCCCCAAATATTTGGCAAGATTACAAAAGGTGAGGTGAGGTCTGAGTTTTTGAAAAAGTAGAAGACACTGACCTAACTGATGCATGTCTTTGTTTTGCCAAATTGGACATTAAAGCAAATGAACTAAAGAATCATCCCCAAAATAGATGACAGCTATTGTTCTTATAGCAGTGAACTTGAGACTTAATCAAGCAAAATGGCTTTATTACGAATTAGTCATATATTAAAAACTAACCAACCAGGCCATAGTCATTAAATGGCACAACTCTCAGTCTTTATTTATAGCAGAGGGTATATATTTCATGAAGGCAAAGTTCAGATTTTAGTCACTATTGTATGCTCAGGGAGGTATTCCTAGAATACAATAAGAACTTAATAAATATCTGGTAAGACAATGAATGGATGCAGTTGATTATAATAGAGTCCTAACTGTCTAGGTCAGAACATCCTAGCGACCTTTAGTCTGTGGCTGCTTAGGGTAATGTCTCTGTGGGTATCAGAGTAGAATTTCTAAAATTTTAACACATCATCCTAGGAGTATTGCTTTCTTGTTTTTTTTTTCTTGTTGTTTTATCTCTCAACTCCAAGTCATTTATAAAAACATGAAACAAAACACAGATCTGGTCCCATCAAAGCCCTGCTCAAAACTCTTCAGTGTCTTACAAGGTCCTCTACCTGGGCCCCTCCTACTTTCCAGCTTCACTGCTAGTTACTCTCTGCCTTCTCTCTTCATCTAGCTGTGCTGTCTGTCATTTTCCTCAAACTTATACTTTCTTTTGCTTTGAGCCTTTGAACATGCTATTCTTTCTGCCTGAAATCATCTCTTCAAACATTTATGTGGTTACTATTCTTAAGGTCTCAGCTTAAAAGTCCCATCCTCATATACTATTCTAGCTCCTGGTATTCCCTCTATTATAACAGTCCTCAAATTCATATTCCTGCATTTTCCATCTGGAACATGTATTCTTCACTACCATCACCACTGTATCTCCAATGTCACAGTCTCACAAGTAGAAAGTACTTAATTGATCTTGAGAGAACAAAGACTTGAACCAACACTAATTGTAGAAGAGCCATTGCTTACACTTCATCTAAAGCAGTTACCCCTCACCTCTCTCTTTTTATTCAACTCTGTGATCTGTCAGAGGCAGTATATCCATATATTTCAGTTTTAAAATTATTCTTGGTGTACAATATTTTGAGAGGCACTTGCAGATGTAGGTTACAATACAGTCACTGGTTCCTTTAAACAAGGAACCAGGTAGTTTTCCCTCCTGAATCTCCTGTGACTCTTGAATATAATCTCACAAAGGAGCTTCAATAGATAAATCAAGCACGAATTTTCTTAGAGAAAAGCTGTTACCCATTTCTCTGCTTCCTGGGATGTCCTTCATTGTCCTTTCCAATTATCCAAATCCTACCCTTTCCCCTGAGTTGAGCCAAATCAGGCTTTCTCGGCCACTCTGGAACTTATTTTACTTTCTTTTCAGAGTCTAGTAGAGGATATTAGTCACTGATACTCACTTTAGCTCAACTCTTCTTACCTCCCCACCTGTAAGATCAAAAACTAGTAGATGAAGTTCTCATGCACTTTCTGTCTTCTTTATTGTTTTTTTTTCAATTATATGCACTCAGAAATATGAATGTTCAAGAAATAATTGCTCTTTAATATTCAGTAATCTCATTATAAATTAGCTAACTTAATAATTCCTATAATACTTTATATCTGTGAGTTGATTTACTGTTTGCAAAACACTTTTCTCACTTGTCTCATTTATCTGCAAAGTAATCTTGTGAGAGTCATAAAATATTATTTTATAAAAATATTTTTATATAATTCATGTAAATATACATATATATTTTATAAAAATTATTTTATATAATTATGTAAATATACATATATATTTGAAGTTATTAAGGAAAAATGGGTTTTCCAAAATCAAACTGCTAGTCATTGTATGTTTAAGACCTAGGAATGTCAATTTTCTTATTTTTGGTCTACTGTTCTTTCTATTACAATCCATTGTATCAAAGAATAGTTGCTCTGTATGTAGTTCCCAAGTTTCCCTGATGAGCCTTCATTGTGGATTAATGTCACATTGTTAGGCTGCCAAGATGACTCACTAAGGTGATGAACTTTTAGACAACACTTCTAGAACTCTGTATTTCTGAGACTGAAGGTCAAAAAGACAATGAAATGGCCATTTGGTCTTAATAAAATATGTTTCATTTGTTGACTGAATAATGCTAGTTCTATGTATTTACTCTGTTGGTATTTTATCAGCTTTTTCTTTCTCCTTTACCGTCATCATCGTCATCACCATGTATATCACTGAATTAATAGCCTCAGATATATAAACCGTAATAAAACATTAGAAAAATAAACACTATTTTCAAAATTAAAGACCTACATATTTAAAAGTTCCTTGGGTGTATTTATGCCTGCAGAACTGTGTTTCTTATACTAAACTGAATTCAAAATACTGAATTTTGTTCTTATTAATACTCACATTGAAGAGAATGTAAGCAGCCTTAGGATTTTTTTTAATTTGGATTTTTCACCTGAATGTCCAAAAAATGCTTTACTAGATATTCATTTATTCAACAATATCTATTGAGAGTATACTATATACAAGGTTTCTTTTTTTAGGTGCTGAGATTATAGTATTCAAAACAGACAAAATATCCAACCTTTGTAGAGCTAACATTCTTAGGATAAGCATAAGACCAAGAAAAATGGACTTTTAGAAGTCTGTGGTGGTCAAAGGTTTCAAATAGCTGATACTGTGTTGTCTAACAAATAAATGTTCAAATGGGTGAATCCCTCTATGGTTTTTTATCAACTTTAAATAAAAGGCTCTAAGCACAAAGGGAAATTATATGTGAATTATTGAGCTCGATCTGCCTATCTAGAGAGTAAACAAGGATCTCTTTGCTTTTTTTTTTTTTTTTTTTTAAGATTAGGTATTGAGTCAAAGTAGATAAGTACAAACAAGTTTACTTGAAGTTTTTTTTTTTTAACACATTTAATTTCTCCTTCCCTCTTTATTGTAATTAGTTTAACAAAATAGATACTAAGTGATCATAACAATGATGTTTCTTCAGCAAAATTAAACATTGAGAACATTTCTGCATGTAGAGAAAATGACTCTTCCTGGAAAGAGATGTAATCTCTGTATATATGGTTCCACTTCTTCATTTATAATTTATAATATATAAGAAGACATAGTTCTATATATATTAAATACAGAATACAAAAGGTAACAATTTACATTTTTATTGCATATTTGAGGGAAGAATTACTGAATTAGAGAATTATTTTTGAGTGTAGAAACTGTAAATCAGTAAGGGATCAAAATAGGGCAATGCCTGCTGAGAAACAGGAGGTACTTATTTATTTTACTTGAGGAGATATGAAACCATAAGGAAATTCATATTGATTATTGGTGAAAAAGCTTTTTATTTAATGTTACCTTGATATTGTGGGTTCAATTAAAGAGCCAGTTCTCATTTTCAACTGGTCAAGTTCAGATCTCAGCTTTTCAATTTCTTCTGCTAATCTTTCCTAAAAATCAAAGAGGTGTTACTCAGATGATATGCATATGCCAATAGTACCAATACTCAACTATGATAAACCAAACAACCAAGCTTAATGACTTTTTAAAAATGGAAAAAATTAACATATTTTTATTACATATTGTTAGACATGACAGCAAAAAATGCCTAATTTTCTCCTTGAAATGAAAATATGACAGCAGAAATCAATAAAATTTTATCTACATTCCCTAACATTCACTAATGCTAAGTTTTTCTAAACATATGGGAAAACTAAGGTCATGACCAGCTATGTATACATCACTTCAAAATCTGAGTAGAAAGTATAGCAGTTTAGAAAATAAAGAAAAGGTCTTATTTCTACAGTAAGTAAAGGATTTCAACCATCCTATAATGGTTGAAGGACACATGGGTGAAAGAGAAGGAAGATTAAATTAAAAGGATAAGGATGAGAAAAAAATTATCATTTGATATGAGTTAAAATTATTAGCTCGATATTGGTACAATAATTTATGCATCTGATACTTTTCTCAGATCGGCATTAACAGTTTCAGTCTGCAAATTTATGAAGATGAGGGTGATCTTATAGCCCTTAATTAAATACTCATGTAAGGACTTAATTTTGTTTTTGTGATTATAAATTTTATAACATTATAAATGTGTCCTTCCAGATTTTCTATTGCTGTTATTTTTCCCCCTCCATGTGACCAATGCTGGACATTTTACTGGACTCATACTTCTTTTCTCACCACAATTTTTTGTCAATGTGGTCTTTGCAATGTTTCTCTTATCATCTGCTCTTTTTAAAATTCTTTCTACCACCATCCTACATTACACACGTTTTTACCTTTTTCCTGAATTATTTTACCAGCTTCCACGATGTATTGCTACCTTCAATCTCTTTCCCACACATTCCTCTGCTAGATGTATCATTTTATTTTATTTTATTTTATTTATTTATTTTTTGCGGTACGCGGGCCTCTCACTGTTGTGGCCTCTCCCGTTGTGGAGCACAGGCTCCGGACGCGCAGGCCCAGTGGCCATGGTCCACGGGCCCAGCCGCTCCACAGCATGTGGGATCCTCCCAGACCGGGGCACGAACCCGTGTCCCCTGCATCGGCAGGCGGACTCTCAACCACTGCGCCACCAGGGAAGCCCTACAAATCACTTTTAAAGAGTTTGACTTTTACTCTGAGTGAGATAGGAAATGATTGGGGGATTTCTGAGCAGAGAAGTGACCTGATCATTCTTATGGCTGTGAAATGGACTGATGAAGGGGGTTAGGAAGTGGAGAAGATAAAAAATTATTATGTTCTTCCAAAAACAGGCAAGAGAATTATGGCTTGGACAACAATGGTGTTAGAAAGAGAATGGCAAGGATGTTGGTTGTATTTTGAAGATAGAATTAAGAGAATTTGCTATTGGACTGGCTATGGGGTGTGTGATAAAGAAAGAGGTCAAGAACAGCTCCAAAGTTTTTAGCCTGCGTAGTTAAGAAAAAGAAGTTGTGATTTACTGACAAGACTGCTGCTGGTGGTGATTAGGTTAGGTGGTGGTGGTGTTTGGGGGGTTGGGGGATTAATTGTTAAGACTGAGATGACCATGTGTCCAAATAGAGATACTGGGTTGACTCTTGAATATATGTACTCCCTCAGGGAAGAGGAAGTATAGTAGGTGATCTAAATTTGCAACTTCTCAATTTACAGATGGTATTTAAATCCACGAACTCACCAGGGACCGAACATAGAGAAGAAATCCAAAGACAGTCCTAGGAACTTCACATTTTAGAGATCAAAATTAATGAAGAGAAACATGAAAAGAAGAGTTTGAGTATATGATGGATATTTACTAATAATGGACTGTGAGTTAAATATAATCGAGTGAAAATTTGAGGAGTTATAGGAGATGTGGTTAGATGAGGAAATGTGCTCAGCTGTATGGAATGATATTCAGAAATGAGGTATGACCTGGGATTTGCTGCCTCTAGTGATTGACATGAACAGGAATGCAAAGCATGTAATGATTAGTACTGCGGGTTGCCTGGGCAGACTTTTGGAGCTACAGGCTTGGGTAGGAGGTTGGGGAGTGGGTTTTGGGGATCTTGCCAGAAGCACACAGAGCTTTGGATAACATAACATTCCATAACAGGATTAAGTTCCGAATTCACAATCTGTTTACACCCTAGTTCTTTAAACACATACCAGTCACAGCAAACTTCTGGTGATTCAGCAAATCAACCATCTTTGTTTTCTCTGTGCTATTGCATAGTTATCGTCTTCTTCCCTACCCTTCTTTATTTGTTAAGATCAAATGTGCCTTCAAGAGCCTGATGAAATGTTATCTTCTTCACTGTAGACTTTCTGAACTACTTTAGAAAGAATTAGATGCTATCTTCTAGGCACCATATTGTATTGCTCTCATACACCTATCTTTCGGGGTTTAAGGGTGTGTACATCCTGACCATGGGACTAAATAGTTATTTTTTTAAATTAACATCATAATATGTAGTATTCAATAGTTAAATGTACAATTGTTCTTTCTTATCTTTATTCTCTCATCTTTTCCAATACCTTCCAAATGACATACTGTTGCCAGATCTCCTTCCCTTCCCTCCTTCCTTCCCTCTCTTCCTCCCTTCCTTCCTTCCTTCTATTACTTCCTCTCTCCCTCCTTTCTGTTTCCATTCCTTCCATCTTTTGTTTAATATACATCTATAAGTCACTTCTTAAGTTAGTGATTTTATATTATTTCATTTACTGATGTTGAACAAAATGAAATAAGACAAAATTGCCAACAAGAATTTTACATGTTAAGGAAGGAGGAAAACACATTAGCAATTACAGCTTTTAACATTTTATAATCTGGCCCTTATCTGCCTAGTCTATCACATATCCTACAATAAGAATAACTGATTCCAGCCAAACTGTTATGTCCATTATTATTTAAGATATCAAAGTCACTACTCACCTCCTCCCCACTCTAAGTACTTGCAATCATGGCACAGGCACTGTATTTGAAAGCCTTGCAAAACAGTCCTATCTTTCCTTAAAGCATTCTGAAGCCTTCTTTATAGCAGCAATGTATATTGATCTCTCCTACCTGTAGTTCTTACTATCTTTCATTCATTTGACACTTGGCATCTGTGACTCTACAACTCATTGCTTTGTGTTTTCTCTCCTCAATTAGACTTTTCAGGTACTTTAGAACTAAGTTCATGTTTGCAAATATAACAGCACAATTTTATGCACAGTAGGTATTTAATACATTTCTGCTAAAATAATATCTCAAACTACACACAAATCAGTGCATACATTTTTATCCCATTTATATAAAGCATGAAAAAAGTCAAAACCATTTTTTTTCTGTTAGAAGTCAAGATAGTGATTATCCTTTAGGATAAGAGTAGTAATTATATGCTAACTAAGTGGGGCTTCCAGGATATTGATTTTCAGTGTGTTTGGTTTGTAAAAATTCATCAAGCTCTCCCTATATATGTATACTTTTCTGTATGTATAATATAAAAGTTAAAATATTTTTAAAAGATAACATCCTAAAATTATTTATTATCAAATTTATTTTATAACAAAATATTCACCAATGTGAAATAGAAAAGTGGGCAAAATGTAAGCTTCCATAATACCTTGTCATGTAAAGATTCTTCCAGATTCTTTCTGAAAGTTTCTGATTCTTGAATTAAAACATTCTACAGAAAAGAAAAAAAACACATAGATAATAAATAAAACAGAAAATAATTAAATGTGTAGATTAATTTTTTATCACTCAAGAATCTTCTTTGATTCCTTCCTTGGTGCATCTATTTTTTCATTTCCATGGAAACCAAGTTTCAATGGAATCTTTAAACAAGACACCTTAACAATTTTAGAAATACATAATTTAAATAGGAAATGTCACTTTGTAACACTTGGATTGACAAATAAGATAAATATTAACTTTTAAGCTATTTCTGACTGCATCTTCCCAGTCTTTTTAAAATTTGAAATAATTAGGTTACTTTTCAAATGAGAAAAAGTGAATAAAAAGCAAAATATTAGCCAAAGCTATCATAGGGAAGAATTCAGATAAACTCATTTTTACTACCCGAAGAAAGAAGAAATTTTAAGATCAGATTTTTTTAAAATTTCAATTTCTGGATATTTATTTCAAATACAGAATTAACAATTTCTAATAATGTTTAAATTATTAGATAAATAAAAATAAAATATTAGCTTTTTAAAAAACTAATGTTATATAACATGATGTGGAAATGACTTGCATCATAGATTTGAAAAAAATCCTTGCCATAAAAGTATTACTGTTGTAAAAGCTTTATGCTTTTCTTATAGTATTAAAAAGCATGATTTAAAATAATGTATTCTTTTCAAATTTATAGAGTTAAATTAAAACAAGAGTGTGGTTATTGGCATGCATTTTGTGCTGAATGGGAAGAAGGCATGCCTTATGACTTATTAATGGGTAAATTAATCAAACTACTTTAACATTTCATTGAAACATTTTTCCTATTTTGGTTTATTGTATGGAGCAGGGGGAAATGTCTAGCTTAGGTAGTGACTGGCATTCCATCTAAATTTCCAAAATGATTTCTCCACCTAGGTTTTAGTCCCTACCTTTTTTTATACTCTGGAATTGGCAACTAGCTCACTAGCTCTTGCTGGTCAGGCAGTCACCAACTATTAATCGGACATATTAACTGTGAGTGAAATTGTAGTCTGTACAGAAACACTTTTTTGGAAACAGTGCAGCTGAAAGTTTTGCATTTCTAAACTCAGTCATGGGACTGACACTAGTGCTATTGGTGATATAAACTCACTCACATTTTGGCTTTCAGACTAGCAGTAGATTCAGTTACTTGAAACATTTGTATGGTTCAAAGCAAGCCTCCCCACACACTCCAAAATACTAATTTTTGTCTTACTCTTTGTTTTTGCATACCACGTGAAAGACAAATGAACTATTTTCATCACAAAAGTGCAACGTGTTATAATACCTTTGTCTTATATGATCATGCTAATATGTAAGATTTATATGCCATGTAACATTTTTATTCATTTAAAAATTGATCTTTCATATTTTTACAGAAACTATTTGTTCACTTTTAAGAATATATCAGGCTTTTTTAAATTAAGGAAAGTAAATGGATCATCTGAACAATGCAATGATTGTAGCAGAGTGTAAAACAAACATGATCATAAGAACATAGCTGATAATCATGTGATTCTACTGGTCCTTTTACCTTCTCTTCTAGAGCAGCCATTCGTTCCTTTAAGTGTAGCTGTAAGCGTTCATTGGATTCAGTCAGAAGTCTATCCACAGTATCAGATAATCTTTTGTTGTGCTCCTCATTCATTTTCTCTCTTTGCCTAGCCTTACATTCAAAAAAAAAATAAATAAATTTAACATAAAAATCACTTAAAAATATTTGGGTTTGTTTTCGTATTTTTTCTAGTTTTAAAACTGGATTTAATTTTATGTCTATTTTGATTAAATTGGCAGAAACTTTTTTTAATGCACAGGGCATATTCATATGATTTTAAATATAACCTATAATCAAGAAAGACATTCAGTTCTTATATGTAGAATATAAATCCATAAACTGATGCTTGAGAGGGATGGTCTTAAAATACATACTCTTTGAAGTTCTTGATTTTTCTCTTCAAGTTGACCTTCTAGATGCCTCATACGTTCTTCAATGTTTCCATGTCTTTCTTCAGCCTGTTAAGAAAGATGAAGAATGCACCTGACATGTAAGATATGGTTAACACTTTTCCTCTGAATAAACTGAAATAAAATGTAAAGCAAGCTACTACCAACCGCAAATGTAGTTTTCAAAAAATAAACTTTTTTTAAACAGGCAGCTGAACAGCATTGCTTGAAATGTGTCAGCTACAAAGGCCTGTTACATCCAAGCATCAGCAAAACATTGGAGTTATTTATGAGCAATGAAATCAGCCAAATGTAACATGCAGACTGTGCATGGTTTGAACACAAACCTGCCATTGCCCAATCTTAAGCTCCTGAAGCACTGAACTGCACAGATGGTCGATTATCAATAAATAAAAGTAACATAATTTTTACAAATGAAAAGAAAAACTTAGATGAATTCTATTTAGCAATAGAAAGTAAAGTCCAGTAGGACTACCTTCCTACGTATGGAGATCATTTCTTGTAGTTTAGCTTCCATAACATATTGATAATCATCAGATGAGGTAGAAGAGGTTGGATCAGACTAACGAGTCAAGGAAAAGGAGAGGGACAAAATTGAAAAATCAGAACTAAAGGCACTGACACTGAACAGAACACAGCACAGAATGCTTAAAAGAAAAATGTGACAGCAAATTTAATACTTTAATAGAATTTTATGTGGAAAGAACTACACTGATATCTGGTGAACATGATGAAGTTGATGGTTATAAGTGAAAAATAATGATATGCTCAAATAAAAAGCTACCAACCTAAGGTATGGAAGGTTAGTGATGGCTGGCAATGAAAGACCACTACAGAATGAATTAAAGCAACTCTGAAAGAGTCATGTAATAATTGGAATTATGGGAAACCAAACACTAGAATATGTCTCTGACAGATTGTTAAAAGTTTTATATTTTGGTTTGTTTGTTTGTTTATCATATTACTTAAAAATAACGGAAACAAAGTACCTCAATATTGAGGAGTAGGCCAAGGCAATGACTCAGGTGAAATAAATTTGGAACAAAATTTATTATAAACCCAGCTCTGTAGAAATCAGAGAAAAAGCTAAGCCACGGGGTTAATTATTATGAGTATTCTCCAATTCAAGCAGGATTGTTTCCTCAACAGCACTGGCAAACTTACAAAATGACTTCTGGTCTCTGAATACACACTATGGCTGTAGGTGTAGAACCTCAGCGCCTATTCTTAGACATAGCCTTAATTCGACATTTTAAATGAAAATGATTAAAAGTCCTCAAATAAAGTGACAATAATGCTGTGAGGACAAGAAAACTTATTGTGACTCCTCCTGAACGATACTAGGGACCACTCTAAAACTGATTCTGCGTTGATTTGTTGCTATGGAAACAAAATAGTGCCCTAAAGTGAATAGGCAGCACAGTGTCTTTTGTGAGCTAATGTTTGCCCAGTGCCAAGGTTAGTTACATGTCTTGGAGGTGAATGTCAGGTTACCACAGATGCAGAGTGTTCAACACATGTGACATTGCTGATAGCTGAATTGTATTAGTATGTTATGCACAGATTACATGTAAAGTTACATCAACATTTTAATAATAATTACAAGTTAAATAATCACAACAGCCAAAGTACCCTATGTCAGGAAAACAAAATTTAACTCCAGAGCATATTCTATTACATTTTATAAGTTTATTCTAAAACAGTGAAACGTACTTTATGCAAATATAGGACTATATATAAATATATCATGCAGTACCTGAAAAGAAATAGTAACCTATTCATGTATTGGTTCATATGCATATGTACTATTTTATGCAACAAATTCCAACTTAATCTATAAAATAAACATTTAACATTTAACAGCTGTGCTTATGCAAATAATAACTCAAAATTTACATTTTGAAATATTTTCCTTCTGATATTATTTCATAAATCAGGAAAATAATGAAGAAATAACCAATTTCTCTCCTCAAATTTCCAACCAGAAGCAACACAGAATGCTACCATAGTCTTCAAATGCCACAAAATGATTTTATAATATTTTAAAAAATTTATAATTCAATTAAGAATACAGTAAATGGTTCAAAATGTTGCTGAAATTATGTATTTTAAATTCTTAAACATATCTGTAATCTCTCAAAAGTACATTTTAACAAGCAGTTAATGTTATGACAATTAATCTGGTGACTGACTCAAGGTAGTCAAGGTATGAACATTTCAATTTCCAAAACTGTTTATTCAAATATACAAGTAAGTCAGTAGGTCTTTCAGAGGTCCTTAAAACTTCTAGCTTTTTCCATCTTAACTACTGAAAACACACCAAACATTGTGAATATTCACTTCAGAGATTAAACGAGAATTCTGTCATGTTTAAATCACTGTTATTGTTTATACTTCTTATTGGTACTAAAAATGAATGAAATACCTTATGGAATTCAAGATGAATTATGTCCTTGCTGAGGAATATGCATTTTAATTAAAGAAGTAAACATCATAAGACTGGGATCCCAAAATGTTTATTATTTAATTGTATATACACTCATCAAAGCCAAATTTTAAATTTTTTCCCTAGCCATTATTCAATACTTCTTACTTTCTAAAAGCCTTAAATGAGCTTTAGCTACCTATTTTTACACACACACACACCACATTGGCAAAAAAAAAGATACCCTTATCAACCAAAGAATAAATTCAGACATCATCTCTAAACAAACACTGGATTAATTTGCAACCACTATTGATTTATGTTCACCTTAACCTTATGAAGACTGCAATTTAAGGAACTGGTGTAAATACTATAGCCACATAAGAACAATCTGCTATATTTTGACTCCTTGATGGGATACAGAGCTTATCTTGATTTCACTCTTTAATGTGACAAGGCAATTTTCAAACGAGCTAAAGTTTTAGAAGAAAACTTTACAGTTTTCTTTTATAGGCAGAAATAGTTTTGAGAAGAATGTGAATATATTTGGAAATGGAGAAGCAATCAAATTTAAAGAGAGGAGGGCCAAAGAGAAGAAAACAATAGTGGCAGATAATAAAAGCAGAAAAAATACTTATAGGCCAATTAAAATATATGAGGGATTGTTAACAATATCATTCAAAATATAGAAGAGGGAGTCTGGGTTCAAACTAAGCATAAATCATAAATTAGTGAGAAGTCAAAAAGATTATGACGTAGAAAAGACTATGGAGATCAATAATAACACACTGAAAACAAATTGGAATTGAAGTAATGAATAACTAAAACCGGTTTTAGAGACAGTCCCTAAAGGTCTTGAGAACAGAGATAAGAAAATGGTCAAAAATCTTTTTAGCCATAAAGCTTGGGAGAGCAAATGAAAGACTGATCTTCAAATGTTATAAAAGGGTTACAAGCAGAGGGAGTATACTGAAAATAAAATCTCAGCACCAGAGGCGTGTGAATAATGAATTAAATATGGTGATAATCTACAAACTGTATATCTGAAATAATGTTGATACAGAGCCAGTCAGGAGAGAAAGCAGTAAAAAGGACAAGCAGAGTGAATTCTAACATTTTCATACTTTTTAAGAGAGGTAAAACTCCTAAAAAGTGAGGAAATCAAAGGGGTCTATTCCCTTTTAATTCCCTTTCTATTCTCTTTTAATTCCAGATGAAGTGGAATTTTAGCAATATATTATCAGGTAGGAGTGAACTGAGGAAATTATTTTGGGTGCATAAGTGAATATATGTATCAAATATGACCTCAATAAAATAAAATAGAGGGCAAAACAGATGAGACACCTATTTTAAGTTGTTTTTTTTTACATTCTAAATTAAGGATTCTTAGGAATTTTTAAAGCCTCATATGTCAAGTATTATATTTTAAATTATGCTTTATTCTCAATCCATCAGAGGTTAATTTGGGGCAATTTTTTGCTGAATTTTAAATTGTGTTTTTGGGGGAGAGATTCCAGACTTTCTTGTAGTTTACTTATGACACTATTGATTATTTGACACTAAAATATTACAAAAGTTACTTTTATTATTTAGCCACTTGCCTAACTCCCCCTAAAATAGTTCAGTTCAATAAGATAACTCTTTATAAAAGTTCTTTATATTCCTCAAGTGAAAAGCCTAAGTATACATATCTTAATCCATATTATAGTAATTTTAAATGTGTTTGCAAGAAAAAATAGCATACTACTACTACTATGTTTGCACTTTTTATATAATTTCAATAATATTTCTAAAATTAAGTAAGTTTATATTTATTTTAGAAATCACACATCTCTGAAATTTCCAGAGCGGTTTATGGCATGGTCTGTGACTATGGAAGGATCCAGATTGTATCACCCTAATCAGACTAAAGTTTCATTCAGCTAGTTAGTCCAATACTCTACAACAAACTATACCAATACTTTCTGCTTTGTCAACTGTTTGTCTTTTCACTACCTGTTTAACTACTCTATTTTAACTAATAGGCATCAGTTTACTGTTCCTCTTTAATTATTTACTTTTCCAAAAGTAACTATATGTGTCTACTTTTATTTTGTTGCATCAATTGTTTTGGATAATCCCTAATGCCAGAATTTATAACTTGCAGTTCATATATCTATCTGACCCGTTTACTGCAGTGGTGTGGAAAACAGCACATGGTAATGACTGTGTGAACCTCTAAAATGTGTGTACATTTTTGAATTGATATTAAAAGTCAAATATGCTTTTAGTGACAAAATCTGTACTTTTATTCTAGTGACATGTGACTTTCAAGCAATGCCATTCCATTTGACTGTGAAAGGTAAGAATAGTCGTTTTAGCATTATAATGGTTGCTAAGTTCTAAAATATGCATATAATTGCAGAATCTAATGTCCATAAAATAGCAGTTAATTTTGAACATTCTTCAGAATATTACTGATTTTAATTGGTTCAGAAGAAATTACAACTATTAAAATCAATTTCTGACTATTTAATGGCTTTAGACTTATACAAATCTAATGTCTAACTTCTAACAAAATTTTTTCATACCATAGTCAGAAAGGAATCAACTGCTTATGATATCTCCTACATTTCTAATACTGTACAATTTATGTTGAGCTTACTAAATTATTATGTCTCATGTGTATCCATATGTGCAAATATAACCATGGAAAATTAACTCTAAGGACGTGATATTTTGTTCGTTTTTGTTAATGTTTAGGCAAAGGAATCATCATATCATATATATCAGTCATTCATTTCAACATAAATAAGATATGTGTAACATAAAAATTCATCTAAATAACAGACCAATACAGTAAAGATTAAATAAACTTAATCTTCATAAAGCCTAAAGAAAATCTTTATATATTCCATTTTGATTACTAGTCATTTCTATAAGTATATCTAAGTTGACCAACTGTTTCATTGCAGTACCTTTGTCAGGGCTGCAATTCTCTGAGCCAGTTCAGCCTCTACTTCAGGTAAGGTCTCAGCTTTTCTCATAGTTTGCTGCAACTTTTGCTCAGCTAGCTCAAGACGCTCTTGTAACTGTCTATTCTTCTCTTCCATCTGAAATAGGGATGAAAAAAGAGACACTTAAATTGTCACAGTTAGGATAGCAAACACCAGTCACCAGGGACTGTGGGCTTCAAGCCACTCTTCTAGAGTTAAAATAAGCTACTACTACCATACCTACTGTGCAAAGAGATTGTTCTCATGTTTTCATATTATTACTTATCCATATTCCTCAATAAATTCAGCACATTAAAAAAAGAAAACCTTTTACTGACGGCAGCAAAAAGAAAAGAAGTTAATAGTGAGTATTAACCTGGACAAATGGAATACAACTTAGTACTAAGACTTCAGATACACCGTAATAGCAACATACTGAAAATCACAACATTAGCTGGAGTAGGAGAGGGAATGTAGCATAATGATTGAGAGTCCAGGCTCTAGAGATGAAGTTGGCAGACTTTTCCTGTGAAGGCCAGATGGTAATTATTTTAGGCTTTTGTATTATAAAGCCTCTGTTCCAACTATTCAATTTTACTGTTGTAGCACAAAAGCAGTCATAGACAATGATTAAATGAATGGGTATGTCTATGTTTCAATAAAACTATATTTATAAAACAGAGCCATAGTTTTGGCACATGGGCCGTAGTTTGCCCACTCCTTCTCTAGAGCCGAAGAGACCTAGGTTTCCATTATTGACTCTACAATTACCATATGTGAGACCTTAGGAGAGCATTCATGTCTCTGAACCTTAGTTTCCTCAGTATAATAATTGTACTTACTTTATTCCTCAGTATAATAATTGTATAATAATTATTATACTTTACAGTATAATAATTGTACTTACAGGTGGTGGTTGGATTTAAGTGAGGTAATACATGTAAACTGTTTAGCACAGTTTCTGGTTCATGTCTAGATCCAAAGTAAATATTAGTCATTATTTTTATTATTATTAAGATAGATTTCTAGATTACACACTGAAAATCACATCTTAGTTAGTTTGGTTATAAATTTTAGAGAATGATTGATTACCAAGGAATACCATATTTTATTTACTCCATGTTTTGTGAGAATGGTGAGAACACACAGACCAGAACAAAACCAAGATAGAGATACCGAACCTGCCGTAGGATGGCCTCTTTATTTGCTAACTCATTTTCTAGTTTGTCATTCATGTCATGTATGGAGGTAGATTCTCTCTGAGCACTGAGGTAACGCTTCTCAAGGGTTGTAATTCTTTCTTCCATATCTTCCTTCTGTGCCATGGCCTACAATTAAAATAATTTAAAAAATCAGATTCTTAGTTTATATATTGTCTTATTATTTAAATTAAATAGTGAGCTATAAAAGAAACTATTGCTTTCTTGAGGTAAATATTCATTCCTTTCTTTTCATTAAGGGGATGCAAGATTTCATGTGAGTTTTCTCTACTTATTTGTCAGAATTCTTCTTACGTCTTGGGTTAGCAAAAAGCTTTCTCTCTCTGAGAATGCAATGGAGTACATTTTAAAACTCCTTACTGTAGGATTGGTATTCTTAGAAAAGAAGTGGCAGAAAAATTAGTTCATTACACAGTAGAAATAAGTATAATTATGGGTAGAGTTGCAAACCATAAAATTGGTAAAATGGTGGCTATGGTTCCAAATTGCAAAGGGATTTTCAAAGAAGGATAATAAATATCATCAGTATTCTTATTGTCATGTATAAGTAAGAATATCTCAGTGGTTAAAAGAGAAGGCAAAAATAGAAAAAAAAGTAAATTTGAATCACACTCACAAATGAATTTACTTTGGAACTTAACCATTTCCCTTGTTTAATTGGAATATGATATATTCCAATGAAAAAGAATTTAGAGAACTCAATGAACACAAATCTCTAGGGAAAAATCAGTTATTGGTGCAAATGAAGCGATAATTTTAAATACTTATTATTAATATAATATTAACTATTATATTAAGCAATAATTTTAAACCATATAATTCATAGATAACATGGAAATGATTTTATCTTCCTAATAGCTTACATGGGAATTTATTAGTAGGTAGATAACCTACTTTTTTGAGATATTGGGAAAAATCAGCTGCAGAAGTGAGCATCTTGGGCCTGGTGTGGTTTTCTGATAATTTGGGAAGCTCCTTTGCATAAGGAGCCTGACATTGAGGAGATGGTGGTGTTTTCCATTTATTACCATCCAGGTTTCTTTGACCACTTGTTCCTAAGCAGTCTCTTTGTTACTCTCCTACAGATCCAGAGTCAATCCTGCCACATGCACAGAACAGATAAATTCCCTTCTAATTTTCCAAAAGAAATAGAAGCCCTTAAATGGACAGTCCTTCAGCTTCCTGATCTTCCCTAACCACCATCAGGAAATTTAACTACATCCACACAAATCCTTAACCTCTATCTTTCAGTTTAGAACAGGTGTTCCACCTTCCCTCAAAGTTCAGTCATTATCTGTATTCTGGGTTTTATGCCTTTTCTAACTCAGGGATTTGGTCACTTTTTCTCCTGAATTTTCAAGGTGCTAGTAGAGGTAAATCCCATAACAATAGCAAGAAGAATGAAACAGGCTTATAAAAAATTTGGTACAGATGAGAGGTGGAGAGCAGAGGAAACAGAGATGATTCAAAGAAAATAAAAATAAGAATGAGAATTCTTATTCTCATTCTTAAAAATAAGAATGATGAATTATCTGATAAATTATGGACCATTGTCCATAATCTGAATTGAAATTATGAAACCAAACTGTTGGAGTGGGTGAAAGACTTACCATAGCTTTAAAAATAAGTAAGCAAATTTATCTATCAGGTAATTAATAAAATCCTAGAAAAACAGAAAGCCAAACAAAAGGAAATATTACCATTGAAAATGACTACTTGGATCATTTGTGGAATTATTTACATAGTCATAATAATGGTAACACTGAATGTGATTTTGAGATGATTATAGTGGAAGGATGGGTGTTAAGAGAAAGGAAGGGAAAGAATAAGAGAGTTAAAATCCTCATATAATATAACAGCAAGACATAGGATAAGTTTAAATAAGAGAAAATACCAGAAGTAATGGCTAAAAGGGTTGAAATTAAGAATTTCAGGAACTCTCTACACCTCCCCTTCCGGGACCCTGTGCAGCCTGCCACTGCCAGGGTCCCGTGATCCAGGGACAACTACCCCGGGAGAACGCACCACGCGCATTAGGCTGGTGCAACGTCACGCCAGCCTCCACCGCTGCAGGCTCGCCCCGCATCCGTACCCCTCCCTCCCCCCGGCCTGAGTGAGCCAGAGCCCCTGAATCAGCTGCTCCTTTAACCCCGTCCTGTCTGAGCAAAGAACAGACGCCCTCTGGTGACCTACACACAGAGGCGGGGCCAAATCCAAAGCTGAACCCCGGGAGCTGTGCTAACAAAGAAGAAAAAGGGAAATTTCTCCCAACAGCCTGAGCAGATTAAACGTCCACAATCAACTTGATGTACCCTGCATCTGTGGAATACCTGAAGAGACAATGAATAATCCCAAATTGAGGAGGTGGACTTTGGGAGCAAGATATATTATTTTTTCCCCTTTTCCTCTTTTTGTGAGTATGTATGTGTATGCTTCTGTGTGAGATTTTGTCTGTATAGCTTTGCTTTCAACATTTGTCCTGGGATTCTGTCTGTCCATTCTTTTTTTTTTTTTTTTTTACTTTTTAAAATTTTTTCATAATAATAATTTTTTATTTTAATAACTTTATTTTACATTATCCTATTTTATTTTATTTTATTCTTTCTTTCTTTTCTCTCTTTCTTTCTTTCTTTGTTTCTTTCTTTTTCTTCCTTCCTTCCTTCCTTCCTTCCTTCCTTTCTTCCTTCCTTCCTTTCTTTCTTTCTTTCTTTCTATTTATTCTCCCTTTTATTCTGAGCCGTGTGGATGAAAGGCTCTTGGTGCTCCAGCCAGGAGTCAGTGCGATGCCTCTGAGGTGGGAGAGCCAACTTCAAGACACTGGTCCACAAGAGACCTCCCAGCTCCATGTAATATCAAACGGCGAAAATCTCCCAGAGATCTCCATCTCAACACCAAGACCCGGCTTCACTCAACGACCAGCAAGCTACAGTGCTGGACACTCTATGCCAAACAACTAGCAAGACAGAAACACAGCCCAATCCATTAGCAGAGAGGCAGCCTAAAATCATAATAAGGCCAAAGACACCCCCAAACACACCACAAGACGTGGACCTGCCCACCAGAAAGACAAGATCCAGCCTCATCCACCAGAACACAGGCACTAGTCCCCTCAACCAGGAAGCCTACACAACCCACTGAACCAACCTTACCCACTGGGGGCAGACACCAAAAGCAACGAGAACTACAAACCTGCAGCCTGTGAAAAGGAGACCCCAAACACAGTAAGATAGGCAAAATGAGAAGACAGAAAAACACACAGCAGACGAAGGAGCAAGGCCATAACCCACCAGACCTAACAAATGAAGAGGAAATAGGCAGTCTACCTGAACAAGAATTCAGAATAATGATAGTAAAGATGACCCAAAATCTTGGAAATATAATAAGGAAAATGCAAGAAACATTTAACAAGGACCTAGAAGAACTAAAGAGGAAACAAGCAATGATGAACAACACAATAAATGAAATTAAAAATACTCTAGAAGGGATCAATAGCAGAATAACTGAGGCAGAAGAATGGATAAGTGACCTGGAAGATAAAATAGTGGAAATAACTACTGCAGAGCAGAATAAAGAAAAAAGAATGAAAAGAACTGAGGACAGTCTCAGAGACCTCTGGGACAACATTAAATGCACCAACATTCGAATTATAGGGGTCCCAGAAGAAGAAGAGAAAAAGAAAGGGACTGAGAAAATATCTGAAGAGATTATAGTTGAAAACTTCCCTAATATGGGAAAGGAAATAGTTAATCAAGTCCAGGAAGCACAGAGAGTCCCATACAGGATAAATTCAAGGAGAAATATGCCAAGACACATATTAATCAAACTATCAAAAATTAAATACAAAGAAAACATTAAATCAGCAAGGAAAAAACAACAAATAACACACAAGGGAATCTGCATAAGGTTAACAGCTGATCTTCCAGCAGAAACTCTGCAAGCCAGAAGGGACTGGCAGGACATATTTAAAGTGATGAAGGAGAAGAACCTACAACCAAGATTACTCTACCCAGCAAGCATCATCTCATTCAGATTTGATGGAGAAATTAAAACCTTTACAGACAAGCAAAAGCTGAGAGAGTTCAGCACCACCAAACCAGCTTTACAACAAATGCTAAAGGAACTTCTCTAGACAAAAACACAAGAGAAGGAAAAGTCCTATAATAACGAACCCAAAACAATTTAGAAAATGGGAATAGGAACATACATATCGATAATTACCTTAAATGTAAATGGACTAAATGCTCCCACCAAAAGACACAGATTGGCTGAATGGATACAAAAACAAGACCCATATATATGCTGTCTACAAGAGACCCACTTCAGACCTAGAGACACATACAGACTGAAAGTAAGGGGATGGAAAAAGATATTCCATGCAAATGGAAACCAAAAGAAAGCTGGAGTAGCAATTCTCATATCAGACAAAATAGACTTTAAAATAAGGACTATCAGAAGAGACAAAGAAGGACACTACATAATGATTAAGGGATCGATCCAAGAAGAAGATATAACAATTGTAAATATTTATGCACCCAACATAGGAGCACCTCAATACATAAGACAAATAGTAACAGCCATAAAAGGGGAAATCGACAGTAACACAATCATAGTAAGGGACTTTAACACCCCACTTTCACCAATGGACAGATCATCCAAAATGAAAATAAATAAGGAAACACAAGCTTTAAATGATACATTAAACAAGATGGACTTAACTGATATTAATAGGACATTCCATCCAAAAACAACAGAATACACTTTCTTCTCAAGCACTCATGGAACATTCTCCAGGATAGATCATACCTTGGGTCACAAATCAAGCCTTGGTAAATTTAAGAAAATTGAAATTGTATCAAGTATCTTTTCTGACCACAACTTTATGAGACTAGATATCAATTACAGAAAAAGATCTGTAAAAAATATAAACACATGGAGGCAAAACAATACACTATTTAATAACCAAGAGATCACTGACGACATTAAAGAGGAAATCAAAAAATTCCTAGAAACAAATGACAATGAAAACATGACGACCCAAAACCTATGGGATGCAGCAAAAGCAGTTCTAAGAGGGAAGTTTACAGCAATACAATAATACCTTAAGAAAT